CTTGAAAACTTACCCAACTCCCATCCCCCAAATCAAGAGAAATTAGGACTAAATATGAATAGAATATATCATGATATAGAATTCATTTTTCATAATAAGAAAGAGAAACACTTCCATTTTAATTAAAGCATTCAAATTTAAAAATAATAGTTTAGTTCAAATTCCACATGCAACATTATATCTTTAATTTGATTGCTATGGCACTTCAAAAGTAAGTATAATTGCTGACAACTAGGAAATATTAAAACTAGATTTTTTTCTGTTTTAACTATATCCATTGTCATCTTTTACTAATTTAACAGGAAACACTAAAACGGCTTCAGCCTATGCAATGAAGAAGCAATAGTGTTCAATCAGACAAGTCCCATATTGAGTATCAGATACCAAAGACCCAGGACTAAAATCACTGTGTCTAGACTCTCTGGCACCTGACTTCACTTATTTACCAGTGACCAGAGGCCAACCCCCACAGCTCTCTGTATTCACATACACCTCTACCATCCCCAACCCCCTACCCAAACATCTTTGAATGATTATGCCAGAACTTGGCATGCCTCAGGAATCTCTTCTGACTGGCTACTCCCTAACTCTCCTGTTTGAAGTGATGCTCTGGTTTCTGAACTTCAGCAGATAATGGCAGGCAAGAGCAAAGGGGGCTGTCAGAAAGGACGTTTACCAGCATTCAGCTAAAAGAAGCATGTAGATCAAAGAGGGGCCAAATAGGACAACTGTGGTGGAAAACATGTGGGTCACTATGAAGATTCTTGCACACTGTTCTAGGGTAAAATATTAAATAACACCATGACATCACTACCTAACCATGTACTTTGATTGGCCATTCTATTACCAATAAATACTTTTATAAGCATCTGGATGGCATTTGCACCTATTTAAACAAAACATGCATCTCAGAGGTCTAAATAACAATGAACTGTTAATGTGTACTTTTAACTATTATTAGAATACAACCATTAACTCCTGGTTATCCCCAAGTATGCTTACCTGAAACAATCCACCCACTGAGACCATTAAGACCATGCATAAAGAAAGACTTGACCTGGCCCCCAAATTTTGCAGAATAGTGATATAATAGGGAAGAAAATAGAGTGCATTGGATAATTAGGGGCAATAAAGTACAAAGGAAGCAAAATATTGGATGGATTGTGAGGTATGTTGTGTATATAATCACCTACTCTGGATGTTAAATATTTTCTAAAAGTGAACTCTAATTTAAATTATAGGTTTATCTTATAAAACACATATAAGAAAGGCAGTATTTAAACTGGATTAAAAATGGGTCCAAAATGACGAGAAAGATTTTACTAAGAGTATCTTATTTTGTATAGTGATTTACAGTTTATAAAGTACCTTTAAATATATTATCTAACATAATTAATGAATATGACTATATTTCACATTTTTTTTGATCACTGAAACAAATGAATCACTATGAGCTACTGCATTTCTACCTTCAAACTCATTTTAGGCTTGTCTTTGAAAAAATACATTTCTAATACTTGAGGATCTTTACTAATCAAAAATTAATGTGCATAATTTCAAAGAGAACAGAATATTACATTAACTCTAAGACATTCCAACCTTGGATATGGCTTTCTTTAATAAGTAGGTTAATGAGTTGCTGACACAAATGAGTTTAAAGCCTTACTAACATAAACATTACTTTGAGTAGCCAATATGCCTGAAAGAAGTATATTTTTAATATCTGAAGGAAATTTGGAAATTTCACTGAATTTCTGAATTGCTTTCCATGATTATTTTATTGATATCTTACAATAAACTTGGCACTGGTTAGCAATAAAACCATATAAACTTTTCCCTAAATATGTCAAAATTGGGCACTATAAAGTACAAGTTACAGGTTGGATGGGACTTTAGGAATGAATATATTCTAGAATATCACGTGGTTTCCTCAAAATGCTGCCTCATACTAAAAGCTTCAGGATGTTTCCAACATAATTTGGTAACATAACCTCACTGAAGAGCTGAAATTTCAAAACAAAAAAAGAAAAGAAGACAAAAAAAGCCCCAAAACCTTGACCCCTGAATGAATTTCAGAAAATTTTGTTCATGAAATATAGATCACAAATGCTCTAAAAACTTCACTGCAGACATGTTTGATGTTAGAGAACTGTTGTCCAAGAACACATGCATGGAAATGGTTCTTGAAATGGTATGGGAGAACTTCCTACTTACAAAGTTTTAAATTCCAGCAATATCAATGTCTAAAAAGTAACCTAGAC